GACGCCTCCGAGGTGCCACACGCACCACGATAACGTGAGTTCGAGGGACACGTCCGAAGATTGCCTGTTTTTGAACGTCTGCACGCTCGCCGACTCCCTCGTGGGCGGCGGTAAGCTTCAGCCCGTCGTGGTGCACTTCCATGGTGGCGCATTCAGGGCTGGGGCCTGCGGCGGGCACGGCAACGATGTGTTCCCGAGGCTCACAGGCGGCGTGTACGTGTGCCCGTCGTACCGGCTGGGCGTCCTCGGCTTCTTCAGCACCTCTGCCGCAGCCCCGCTGGCGCTCGGCCTCCTGGACCAGCAGCTGGCCCTGAGGTGGGTGCAGCAGACCGCCAGGGCGTTCGGCGGGGACCCCGAGCGCGTCCTGATCACCGGGCAGTCTGCCGGGGGCGCGTCCGTCGTGGGGCACCTGGTGATGCCGTCCTCCGCCGGGCTGTTCACGAGCGCGAGCATCATGAGCCCGGGCGGCCACCCCGGCTGGAAGGCTCGGGGGGCAGTGAAGGCAGCTGCCGGCGGCAGGTTCGCGTTGTGAGGACCTGCGCGCTGGCCGCCCGCCGCGCGGATCGCTCAGCCTTGCACGACCGCGGCCTTCACTGGCGCGGGTCGCTCGATGTTGGCCGACTCCCAGGCCACCCGCGGCGCGATCATGACAGAACGCCCACGTCAGGCCCAGCCCAGGAAGGCCACTGACGACGGGTGCTGGTTAACTGGAGCAGTGGTGACGCGGTGATGACGACCAGTGAACTGACGCTGGTGGTCGCCAGTGAAGTGGCCAGCGACGTTGGACCTCGGCGATCGCAGCGATCATTGAACGCCCACGCTGGGCTCGCCGCTGCGTCAACGCGTCGTGGACCTGCTGTGGCCGCAGGTTTTCAACAGCTCTCGCGCAGCCTTCGACCGGCGCTTGACCCCCGCCCCCACCAGACGTCGGGCGTTGTGTCTTGACAGTGCGCGGCCACCGGGGGTCCGCGATCCCGTGCTCCCTGGTTCGTTTTTGATCGCCCCAGGGCCCAGCAGAGGGCCCCCAGAGGCCGAGGGCTAGGAGAAACGGGCTCCCCGCTCACCGAGCGCGTTCCACTACTCGCACAGCGCCTTCTCGCAGACGCCCGCAACTCACATGTTCGCCTCGACGTAATAGATCGTAGATCCGCCGCAGCGGATCCAGGCCATTTGCGAGCAGGTGGTTTGCGAGTACAGTCGGGGCCCTGAAGAAGGCACGCTTTTCGTTGGGGAGAGGCTCGGTGTTCCTTGATTGTGTCACCGTTTGCCTCGGGCTCCCCTTAGGCTTTTTGTATGGGAAGTCGAAGTTTGACTTATGGAAAAGAGGGGCCTCGTTCCTCATTTAGGGTTCCTTAGGTCGACGCCCCGACTGTAGTGGAGCGCGCTGATCTCTGCGTGCGCCCTCTGGCCGCGGCGCGCGCGCGAGCGCTCCGGAGCGGTGCGCGGGAGCGCCGCCAAATGGGTGGCGCGTGGGGCCCGGGGGCGATGTCTCGAGAGGCGTCCCTGGCTCGAGCCAGGAGCCCTCGCGGCCTCCAGAGCACCCCCTCTGGCATCGCTCGGACGTGTGCATGTTTCTCTTTCGGCGAGGGCCATCGAGGAGCATCCTGGATCATTTGGCGAAAAAACCACGCACGAAACCGAAAAAAACAGGGGATGGACGTCCAAGCGAGGGCGAGCCCCCTCCCGAGGCCCCAGGGGGCCCCTGGGAGCCCTGAGGTGGAGCGAAAAGCTGAGGGCACCTTGGGGGGCCAGGGGCACCTTTGGCAATCCCCGACTTGGGTTAAGTCGGGCATGTCCCTCTACAGGAGGATCATTCACAAGTGGTAAAGACAACAGTACGGGACGATTTTCGTTAAAATATGGTTTGACTATTTTTGATGATGCTTGAATCTTTCCGGACTATTTCAATACATGTGTCTTCCCAAACCCGCCTGTAGGAGGACATGCCCGACCTCAGACCAGGAGAAGGAGTAGGAGGAGGAAGCGGAGGAGGAGGAGGAGGGGAGGAAGCGGAGGACGAGGAGGAGGAGGAGGAGGAGGAGGAGGAGGAGGAGGAGGAGGGGAAGGAGGAGGAAGAGGGAGGAGGAGAGGAGGAGGAGGAGGAGGAGGAGAGGAGGAGGAGGAGGAGGAGGAGGAGGAGGAGGACGAGGGGGAGGGGAGGAGGAGAGGAGGTGAGAAAGAGGAGCAGGAGGAGGAGGAGGAGGAGGAGGAGGAGGAGGAGGAGGAGGAGGAGGAGGGGGAGGAGGAGGAGGAGGAGGAGGAGGAGGAGGAGGAGGAGGAGGAGCAGGAGAAGGAGGAGGAGCATGTACGTGCGGATTTACTATCGGGGGCCTATCGCCGATTCATCTGCGATGTATCGCCGATTCCAGGTCGACGTTACCCCCTTCTGCCAATCCCCCCTATCGTTGCCCCTAAACAGAGGCGTCCGCCTGAGAAGGCGGACGGCTTCTGAGAAGGCGGGGAGCGGCCCTCTTAGCTTGCAGCACGCCTTCTGGGAAGCCTTCGGGCCTTTCTAAGAGAGCCCCATATGGTTTAAGAAGCCCCCCACAGACATCCGGTGCACTATTTTTTTCGATGCGTGGCTTTCTGGAGATCTGCACTTTCCCTGGGACCAGATTGTCATTCTGGATAGTTGTTTGACGGTGTTGGGGCCCGAAACCGATAGACGGGTGCCAGAAATGAGGGTGGGGAGTGGTTGTTTAGATTTTGTCGATGCACCAGACGTCTGGGATTGTATTTTTCCCGCTGTAGGATAACGGTTATCAATGATATTAGCCACCGTGGACCCCAAACACTGGTTTCGTGCAATCGATGTTGTGCAGCTTATGCGATGTGGTAGAATCAAGGTGGTGAGGGCCATTTGGTGTAATCTACGTGGTGCAGAGCAACGCATAGCAACGCAAAGCGATGCACATCAATGTAATGCATTACAAAACAATGCGAAGCAATACAAATCTGTACACATCACTGCAAATCAACGCAAAGCAACGCACAGCAATACGCAAAGCAATGCGCAAAACAATACGCAAAGCAATGCAACACAACACAAAACAATGCAAGACAACACAACGCAACGCAATACAGCGCAGCATTGCGGAGCGATGCAAAGCGGGCGGCGACGAGGAGGCGGGCGGTGACGAGGCGGCGGCTAGAGCGACCCCCAGTCACAGGCGACGGGCGGCGACGAGGCGGGGGCGGTTGCCTCATGACAGCCAGAGCGGCCCACAGGCCCAGTTCTTCAGAAAATGTTAGCCGGCGTGGGCCCTAAGCAGTGTTCTCTAGAATACTAGGCGGTGACATCTGTCTGGTGAAATCCATGTTCTGCAATCTATTGGGTGTAAGCCATGTGGTTCAAGCGGTAAGGCGAAACGCATTCAGAAGCAGTGCGACATCGAGGGGCCCCGCAAGGAGGCGCGGAACTACAACATCAACCCCCGCGGGGAAATCAAGGCGAAACTGTTGCGAATGAGATCTTCGGCGAGCAATGCCGCGGCGAAGTGAGGTTGAGCAGCAGCTCCGCCGCAGGCATGCAACATTCAATTTGCGCCGTTTTGTGCGCGTCCTTTCGCATTACATATTGCGCAGTTTACGTTCATATTCAGATTTTCAGCTGTTTGGGCTGCTTTGGATTTTCGTCGCCAGCTTGCGCAGTAACGTTTGGTTGCGCGCAATGTTGCGCATCGCCATGTGCTGGGCGAGGCCTGTGCCCGAGTTGATTAAACATTTTTTAGCCAGCGTGGGCCCCAATCAGTAGGCTCTCGCAGGCCACGCGGTGCAAACTGTGCGGCGCAACCTCTGCGGTCCCTTTGTATCCTGTTGTCGAAATACGCCCCGCACCCCGGGCGGCCGGCGGCGCGTCCTCCAGGGTCGTCGTCGTCGTCGTCTCCTCCACCCCTCCCCTCTTTTTCTTCCCTCTGACACTTTGCACTGCCACTTCTAGTCTTAACGGCTATCCGAGTGTGCGTGCGTGTGTGACGTTCGTGCGTGTGTTCATTTGCTGCGCGCGCCGTCGCTCATCCAGAAGCTATGGTGTCCGTCGGGGTGGCTACCGATGAACACGTCGCGGCCGCCTGGCGAAAAGCTTATGCCCGCTAGTGATGGTAATTGTGGTGGCGACGGCAGCAGCAGCAGTTGCAGTGGTAGTGGTCATTTTCTTCGTCGTCGTCGGCGTTGTCTTCCTAATTGTCGAAGCGGGAATCGGGAATGGGCTGCGTTCCTGAGAGCGCAATCAACCCCGCCTCATGGAGAGGGCGAGACAGAGTGAAAAAGAGGGCCAGAAGGAGAGGAGGAGGAAGAGGAGGAGGAGGAGGCGCAGGGGAAGGACGAGGGCGAAGGTTAGCACGATGACAGCCGAAAGGATGGTATCAGGGGAGGCCGCAAGCATATGTATGTATATATACACATATATATACACACCGGTATGTATTCTTTCGGGCGGGATCCCGTCTACACTGTTAGTTCGACATGGAGAGTGCGTGCGGTGCATTATACGTGGTGCAATGTACGTGGTGCATCATGTTTTGGACAATTCATATGGTGTATCGAATGATGCAATATCTGTTGTTTAATATTCACAAAGCAGAGCAGACCAATGCAGAGAAATGCGCAACGATGCAACAGTGTGCCAAGCAGCGCAACGCGAGGCAATCTGCAGCAACCTATCCGGTTCAATGGATGTATTGCGATCTGCGTTGTGCAATCCATGTGGTGCAACTTGTGGTTCAATCCGCTAGGTGCAATTCTTTGTTCCGGAGTGAGTTGCCAACGCCATTGCTCGCTCAAGCAGGTCAGAGTAACGCGCGACGCGTTAATTTCAACGCAACACAGCGCAAAGCGATGCAAAGCAACGCGAAACAATGCAACACCATACGACATAACGCAAACCAGCGCAACGCAATTCAAAGCACAGCTAACCAATGCAGAGCAATGCAAAACAATGCAAAACAATTTCAAGCAACGCAAATCGTTGCGGAACGATGCGAAGCGGGCGGTGACTATGCGGCCGGCGGCGACGAGGCAGCGACAGCGGCTACATGGCGGCCAGAGCGGCCCGCAGGCCCATGCGACGGTCTGCGACGGCGCGGCTGCAGCTGCCACGTGGCGACCAGAGCGACCCACAGTCACAGGCGACGGGCGGCGACGAGGTGGGGGCGGTTGCCAACGTGGCAGCCAGATAGGCGGGGAGGCCCAATTCCTCATAATATGTTAGCCAGCGTCTGCCCCAAACGGTGTGTTCTAGCAAAATCTGCGGCGCAATTGATTTAAACAAACGAGTTGGCACATCCCATGCTCTTGCAAACATCTCACCCACCCACCCGCATTTTGGTTTGCAAAACACAGGCGGTGGCGATTGCGATGCATGCTTGGCGTTGGCTGGTGCATCTCTGCGGCCACGCCAACCCAAGCACGCGCGCGCAGCGGCCAGCTAGTTTGGCGCGACCGACGCGGCCGCGGTGGCGCTGACCGCTGGGCGCATCCCAGCGG